TATTTGAAAAATAATGTGTTTTTTGAACATTAAAGCATGTCAACATATTCTGTTACACCAAATACACCAAATAATGATCTTTAAAATGACCCCTTTAACTTATGATACAATTTAGAATAATAAACTGGGTAAAATGTAAGTACAACAAAGCAAAATCCCTGATGTTGAATTGCCACTTCTCACATTACATTTATTGTCCCAATCTACAGATCCAGGTTGTAAAAAAATGTAATGTGGATTAGAATGATTCACTGATTCACAGTGATTCATGATTCAGATTCAATCAATGATTCAGATTAACAATTCAGATTACTAGTACTCTGAATGAAACCACATTTCACAATGTAGGCTACAGATACATAAAGAATCAATTGTAAAACAGTCATCATGGAGTGTTTTCCCATGATTTAGGTGTAGGGTGACCATACGCCCTCTTTTCCCTGGACATGTCCTCTTTTTGGACCTAAAAAAATGCGTCCGGCCGGGATTTCTTAATCGACCAAAATGTATGGGATTTGGCTGTTTTCTTAATCTCGCTTCCACTGAATCTCTGATCATTGCCGCCTGCTCCTGCAACATGTGTTTTGCTCCCTTGATTTTCGTGTCCACTCCTTTAAACATTCTAATATTGTATGTAATTTTGCCGCATCAGGGAGCCACTCTCAGTATGCGGAGTATTTAAATCCCATTTTGAATGAGTGTTCACGCTGTTCACTTTCACTTTTGATTTCGCGATCACACGCACTCTGTGTAAAGGGAGCACATCTGACAAGATCAGATATTTGTCAATGAGTTCAGGATCTGTTGAGCAGCAAATACTCCAGCATGGTCTTGTCAGTCATCTCTCCTTATTCTCAACCTGAGATCAGTCAAATCTGACTCCGGCAGCTCTTCTTGGATACAGGGTTGCCAAGTCTGTGTTTTTTTCCACAGAATTGGGATACTTTTAAACTGTTGCAATGGGTTGATTTTCCCAAGTGGGTTAAAGGTTTGAAATATTGCATAAATTACATTTGACTGAAATGCTTGTATTGAAACATTTTGCATTCTACCTATGATAAAACTTTAAATGGACTTTTACATTAACTGTTCCATCCTGGTGGAATGACCTGCCCAACTCAATCCAAGCAGCTGAGTCCTTAATCATTTTCAAGAAACGGCTGAAAACACATCTCTTTCATCTTCATTTGACCCGCTAACTCTAGCACTCTCTATTATAATGCTAATTCTAATTTTATCTGCTTGTTTTTTTATTAAAGAAATTTGACCCTCTAACATTTGCACTCTCTATTCTATTTCTATTCTAACTACTTGTTTTATTTAAAAAGAAAAAAAGAGCCTTTAACACTAGCATTCTCTATTCTTTCTCTATTCTTTCTACTTATTTTCTTTTTATTTATTATAAATAATTACCTTCTAACACAAGCATTATCTATTCTTTTTCTGTTCTATTGACTTGTTTTATTTTTATTTAAAAATTACCCTCTAACACTACCATTCCCTATTCTTTTTCTATTCTATCTACTTGTTTTTCTTTTTATTTATTATAAAAACAAAACAAGCAAACAAACACAAAAAAACCCTTGCTATGTATACTTTTAGGCGAAACCCCGCCCACGAACTCCGCCCCTCACTGTCGTCTTTTTGGAAAACTAAAATATGGTCACCCTATGTGATAATAATAATAGTAATAATAATTACTGCTGAAATAAAAAATGTCAGCTTCTGTCCTGGACTTCTAGGTGGGCAGAGTAGAGGCAGATTTTATCAATTAATTTTCCTCTGCTGAACACCTTGTGACTTTTGGCAAGACATATGCAAAGCAAGACAGGTTTGGGAGTCCCTGCACAGCATGGAATCTGCCCAGACGCTGTTCAGCAGTGTTGCTGGAAGATGTGTTCTCTCCTCTCTGAAGAGGGTGTTAAGAAAATAGGTGTTTGAAGGGCTCTTTCTGTCACTTGTTTCAGAGAATACGCTAAGTAGTGCTCTCTAACATTAGCACTCTAGTGCTATTCTGTCTACTCGTTTTCTTTTATTTATAATATTTAAAAAACTTGAACCTCTAACACTAGCGCTCTCTATTCTATTTCTATTCTATCTACTTTTCATTCTTTTTATTTATTATAAAAAATAAAATAATACTTGCTACGTGTGCTGCATATTGTAATAATGTTGCTCTTTTGTTGGTTTGATTGCTTCTATTGTCCTTATTTGTAAGTCGCTTTTGATAAAAGTGTCTGCTAAATGATTAAAGGGGTCATATGATGCGATTAAAATTTGTCCTTTCTCTTTGGAGTGTTACAAGCTCTTGGTGCATAAAGAAGATCTGTAAAGTTGCAAAGACTAAAGTCTCAAATCCAAAGAGATATTCTTTATAAAAGTTAAGAGTCAGCCACGTCTACCTAAAACGGCTCATTCTAACATGCCCCCACATGTCTACGTCACGATGTGGGAAGATTTGCATAACACCGCCCAAATGTTCACCAAAGAAAGAAAGCGTAACTTTTATTCTCGCTGTTGCCGCCGTCGTCATGTTGTGGAGACGCTGTGTTTCGTTGTGAAAGCGAAACTACTTTGTTTGGCCTTCCTAAAGAGGACACTATCTGCTTCCTCATGCCTGGAGCTGATCCGTGCTGGTCGCTGAGGAAATACATCAACTTCACGCTGTGG